GCAGAGAGCAAAGTCAAAGCTGAATTTTCAGGGTGATATGAGGTTCTTGTTTATCTTGGATTAAGTTCATTAGCATGGATAAACCTTTAAAGAATACCTACTGGAGAACAGATGCATTATCTGGACAGCTATGGAAATAGGGGGGAAGTTAGGGACAGCAAGCAGATTGTTTCATGGACATTTTATTTCCCTACATTGGATTGTCCCTGTACTCTTCCGTGTGCTCATAAACATTGCAGTGCTGCTTTCAGGAGTATTTTCCATCATTAGGATATACTGCAAAAATGAATGAGGACATCTATAAGAGCTGAAAGCAGGCAATATTCTTTCTGCCTTTCTGAGCTGACTTGTCTAAAAGTCTTAGATGAGGTATTTTCAGAGCTTCAAAGTGCATTTTTCTAAACTGTGGCTGTTTTTCACCTTTTAGCTGAAGGGATCTGCTGAAAGGTGTGATCCTCTCCCCATTGCTTCATCTTTATCTGTATTGCTTTTGGCCCCTCTCTGACCCACCACTGAACTGATATGGAGTGCTAACTCAGCAGAAGGCATCGCATTTATTTTTGCTGGGTTACTGTTTTGACAGTTTAAGGAACTGCCTTGCTATGGGGACGGAGAAGATAAAGAATCAACAGAGATAAATGGTGGTAAAAGCTGGATGAGAGGAAGAATGCCTCTTCCATCAACAATTAGCTATTAGGCTGGCTTAGATGTAACACCAAATCTCATCCTTCTCTTGACTTGACTTCTACTGGCAGGGAGTGCTTTTGTTCAACAAAACCTGTATTGGTTTGGGGTGCAATCCAAGCAGTACCAGGTGTACACAATGATGCTGTTCCACTGTGAATTACCTATATGAGAGATTTTCTGCTTGCACAGCAATGCTTCAAAGCATCCCAAACATCATAAATCCTCCCTCAAACCCACCTGCCTGAGCCTATGGGAATTATCTCCAGGGGAACTCACAAACCATGAGCTGACTGTTTGCACAGAGATTTGGGACATGTCACAGGAGACTTGTGACTTTGTAGATATACTCTGATATCTCAAAAATCTCAAGCTAAAATGTGTTTAACACAGAGAGTGTTGTACAGACAACAGTGTCCGTATGGGGGGTGAACTGCTTCTCATCTTGTGTCAGTGACTAGGAGCACCTCTGCAGCTTCCTACCCTCAGAGGGAAATGAGAGCAAGGCCCAAATGAGTGACACTGAGTTATTTACTGCACAGAAAACACTTATTTTCCTTGTTTCAGCAAAGAAGATTCCCAGGGAGGCTGTTGGGCAGAGGTGGGAAGGAGCAGAGTGCATGGGCCACAAGTCCCCAAGCTGGAGGAGACTTTGCGTGCTGGGTTCCGCAGCTCCTAGGGGACAGCTGGCTGTTTCCAGGACACTGCTGTAAACAGGGCCACCTGAGCGCCCAGCCATGCTGCAGACAGGCTCCATGACCTCGGTGAGTCCCTTTGCTGGCTCGATGTTGCTGCTGCCTGTGTCTGGCTCCGTAGCAGGTCTGGGAGCTGCAGTGAACTCCATGGGTTGTGGGGCAGCCATGGCACCATCCTTCAGCCAAATCAGTGAGCACTGAGCTGTGTTTTAAAGATACAGGCCTGGTGTTCCCTCCTGCCTGTGTGGCTGTGGTAGGTGTTGCTCTGCCAAGCCACCCTGCTTTCCATTTTTCCTCCACGAGTTCATATTCCCTTGTGTGTAACACAAAGGTATTGCATTTGCATGGTCATTTTCATCTGAAAATTGTAAGCCAGTATTAGAAAGCTGGAGCTGAAGACTGGGACCAACAAGTTTAAGTAACTGCTCTTTGTCAAAGGATTAGAGCCACTGTTTCCTAATATTCATCTCCACAGTCTAACCACTGCACTGTTGGCTGCTGACATGAACTTACTTTGGTGTTCTACTACCAAATTAAATTGAGCAAGAATCGGGGAGTCTTGTCGCTGTCGGAATGGCACCAGGCAAAAAGTCACTGAAAGCCTTCGTGTTTCACCTGATTCACCCTTCTGTAGGCAGAAGGACTTCAGCAACAGGATGCATTTTACTTGAAAGGCGACCTGCGAGTACCAGCTAAGGATTTGCAAGCCTTTCTTGTTAGTTAAGAAGGGGACTAATCCATGGGGGGGTTTGGTTTTGTATGGATACTGTAAAATCCTGTCTCTGGCAGTTTGCTTCAGCGTTCCCTGAAGATTCTCTCTGGTGTTTATTTAAAGTTCTCAGAAGATCAGCAAAGTGCACAGCCCATCCCATTTTTAAACAAAGGCTTCCTTTCTGCTGCTGCTTAGTCATTGCAATTACATAAATAATATCAAAAACAAATAAAACTGATGCTTTGTTTAATCCATAACTACATTTGATCTCTCAGCCTTTATTAATTCACTAGCAACCAAAGAACTGATGTTCTTTAGCCAACTTTCGGTGATTTATTCACAATCTGAAAGACATAAAAGAAGACAGATGCCTGTTTTTTTCTGTCTTATGCTGGCAACCTTTAATCTGAGAGATCTTCTGTTTAGCTAATTCACAGTCAACATCTGAGTAAAAAGCAGACTTAAGAAAGATATACAACGGACAGTATGCACAGTGCTTGTCTTATAAATATTTTGCTGAGCTGGGGCTGAGAAAAAGGGCACAATGCTTATGACACGTAACCTGCATGCTGTTTTCTTGCAGACGATAAAACTAACTTCAGGCGTGTGGTACTGGAAAGATGACACTAACACACTTGAATTTGCAAGGTAAAAAAATGATGTTCAGTTTCAAATTACACAGGCTTAAGGTTCAGCAGCTCCATGTAAGGTAAAATCAGAATGTAATGTTTTGCCTGAACTGCAGGACAAATCTATATGTTTAAACATGTATATATTATGGTTTGACTGAATGATCTTAGAGGTCTTTTCCAATCCTGGTGATCCTATGATTCTGTAGATGTTTTTCTTTGAGTCTGGAGCTTGTAATTGTTACTCTGTGACACTGAGTCACCATCCCTGGAGGTTTCCAAGAAGAGGGGAGATGCAGCAGAAGGACATGGTGTAGTGGGCATGGTGGTGATGGGTTGATGGTTGGATGAGACGATTTTAGTGGTCTTTTCCAACCTCCACGATTCTATGATTCTATTACATTTATCCCATTAATGGAGAAAAACAGAAATAGGCATTTACTCTGTACTGCTCTCAAGATGAATCTACTTCAATTGCTGAAAGTGTGTGCAAGTCCTGCCGTGTGCCTGAAACCATGTGCTGGAGCAGCAGTGCTGACAGCAAGGGCCAAGTTGCTTCCCTGGCATCAAGGGATGGAGGTCCACAGGCTGATGCATGGCAGTGAGCACTGCAGGACTGCAAACCTTTTGGGAAACCAGAGTTCTGCAGGAGAGAAATTGCACGTACCTGCGCTTTGCATTTCTGTGGCAGCTGAGGAGCAAGACTTTACCTGGCTGAAATACTTCCATACATTTAACGACTGGGGAAAAGCTACATCCTCCCCTCTTCCCTTCCCAAGCTCAGGGCAGGCAGGGTGGTTCCTGCTGCCATACTGGCAGCTCCCACGCCTTGGTCATAGTAGAGCTGGGCTACTCACTTGTTCCTTGACCACAGGCTGATGCAGGTGCCTTTCATGGTCTGAGTCTCAGCAGCTCCAGCAAACTTGTCTCATGGTTTTCAGAATGCAGCTGGCTCTGCGTGGTGCTCTCTGGGGCAGGAATAAATTCCCCAGCCATGTTTGCTGCCTCTGCCATTTGTAGTCCCCCAAAAAATTTTTACATTTTGCATTTAAAATACATCATTCCAGAGACAAAACCCTCTTCTATTTTCCTACACAAAGTATTAGTGGACCTGAAGGTCAGGTGCATATATGTACATTAACATAATATGGTTAAGATGGAAATTAAAAGAAGGTTCCTATTCATTGATGTTGTTAGGATCAAGATGGCAAAGCCACTTGAGATACAGATGATTTGAAGGGTTTCTGTGATGCAGGAGACAGCAGAAGAACCTTTGCTTATTCTGTGCTTCTGCATTCTTGAAATCAGTGTCTCATGTGGCCCTCACTACAACCCAGTTATTTTCTTTGTGTCAATTAGAAGATGAAATACATGTGTTTTTGTATCGTGGCGAGTTGACCTCTTTGCACTGCTGTTAGAAGTGTAAATTCATACTACTGCATTCTCACACTCCAGCTCCAGTCCAGCAGCTGAGGAAGGCCTTAACGAAGGAGAAAACGCTCACTTTCAGGAAATATGTGTCAAGACATTAAAGAGGTAGTTCAACTCCACTGAGCTAGCTCAAGAAGGAACGCGATTATTAGGGTGGAATATTTCATCACTTGTAGGAGGATCGTGTCTGAACACAACAGGTGAAGCAGGAGCCACCTGTCATTTCAGCAGGGTGGATAAGTGGTCTGAGCAGAGAAGCAGGGCCAGACATGCCCCGTGCTGAATGCCAGCTCAGGCAGTAGCCTGCTGTGAGTTTGGTAAAGGCGTTCAGGTCTCTCAGAATGAGGTAAGAATTCTCATCTACTCTAAAGAGTATTGTGAGGTAATTAATTCACCTTTGTGAGGCACTTCAAAGATTAAAGTATTATTATTAATTTTATAAATTCACAATGTGGTGTGGCTGACTTTCATCCATTACTTAAAACATCTTTGATCTAAATAATATAGTCGCAATTTATTATATTAGCAACTAAAAGGGCAAACTCAGAACAACCTTGGAGGTGACATGTCCTATTTCTCCCAACATTCCCGGCCTGCTTTGTGGTTATAATAGTTGAAAGTTATTTTGGGGTATCTGCCAAACACACTTAACTGCCCAGCTTTGTGAAACTGCATGCAATAAAGGCTGTACATACCAGGTAGATAACGTGACTGTTCTGTGACTGGAATTAACAATGTCTTTAAATACTACATATTGGTCAACTGCTAGCATTTTCCAAGATGAATGCAGTGCTACAGTCCCTGAAAAAAGGCTTGCTGACAACAAGGAAAAAATTCATAAGCTGTCAAAGTGGATAAAACATGAATATGTCACACTGGATGATGTCAAATGTGAGTAATTGTTGGTCTACTGCATCAGCAAGGCATTGCCCATAGAAGTATTTCTACTGCTGTTGAGCAATTCTTGGAGAAGCTATTATTTTTTTTGCTCTGTTTTCAGATCTTGCTTTCCTTTTGAGAGAAGAAAATGAGTCACATCGCATGCTACCATTTGCAGCAGTTATGGGGTATGTCATTTAGAATCTGTTTTGAGAATCGTGTGTGTATCAGGAAACAGAGGCACTATCCTGTGAGAAGTTTCAAATCTCTTCTCTGGTGGTTAATGGGAAGCAAATACATTTTCTCCTTGATGTGCAGAAAAATAATCCTACCATTTGCTTGAAAGCATTCTACTCTGTTAGCTAAAGGAAGCCAAGGCCTTGGGCCTAAAAATCCAAACACCGTTATTCATCTTAGCCTAAGTTAAATTCAGTGTTTGGCAAAGCATCTGTCACGCTGCCTGCACCAGGAGGGCCTCACACAACAGGGCATCCAGGCTGCCTGCTTGTGCTGCTGCTGTTCCAGCCAGAATGCAGAGCTCATTGGTTGCTGCTGTATTTATCAGCATTACTTCCCTGTATGCTAAAAGCAAGGAGGCAGTTGGCAGAGCACTGTCTTAAGGGTGTACCCCTGAGATCACCAGGGCTAGGCAGTGCCTGCACTGCCTTTGTTTGAAGAATGTACCTGTATATTTTGAGTCTCAGCCATACTGTCCTTTGGGAAGGGGAGGGGAATCTTAGTTACCCCTGTTTTCTTTGAAGGAGAATGCTGCTCTTTCAGCATGCTTCGTGCACAAAACATGCTTGGAGGATGTAAATGTGGTAATATCTAATTCAGTCCGTGGCTCAGTGTGCTTCTTGGCCTCCGAAGTCTTACTGTGGGATGGAGTGCTCGCTCTGAATGGCTCTCAACCTCATGAGGGTTGCTCAATATAGTGCAGGCCCTTGAGCAAAGACTTTGCTGTTTTTTGTAATAATCTGGTGCTGCAGACTTACCAGTGACATTTCTACCTTTTATTTAGGAATAAGAAACTGGATGAGTTCCTCATGGCCCTGCTTTTCTACATGTCTTTTTACCTGGAAAAAATTGCCTTGGAAAAGAAAACCCAATCCTTGATTTTGTGAGTATAGGACGTCAGGGGTGTAAGTACCCAGAATTTGCCCTAATAAATCCAAACTCATAGGAAAGTTTTTACAGTGGGCTCAGTGGGATTCTGCATGTGAGCAAGGACTATTGCTTGAGCACAAACTGCATGTTGGCCTGGTTGCTATATGGAAATATAAGGAGAAAAACCTCTCAGTTACACCTCTTACGCCTTTGGCTTCTGTGCTTTCCCAGGACATCTGAACTAGTCATTACTATGACCCAAACCTTTGTGTGCCCTGGATCAAATCACCATCCCTCAAATCACATTTCCCAGTAGCAGCATTAGCATCCAGTCCTTTTTGCTTGCAGAAGCACCCACAAAGCACAGCTGAGTTTGCTGGGTGTTAATTTGTGCCGTGGGTCACATTGAACTCATTTCTAACTATGCAAAGCAGGTTCAGATGCCTCTTCAGTGCTACAAACGTGTTACAACATGAGAAATATCTGCTAGGCAAGCAGTTCCCAAGTAAGGGTGTGTGACCACATTTGCTGCCTTGCAAAGTTGGAAGTGGGGATGCCAGAGGAACAGTTGAGGAGCTGCTATGTTATAGGGTTATGTGCCTTGGGTGGGAGTGTTACAGAGCTACAAACCATAATTATAATAAACTTTAATGATTTGCTGGACTCTTTGATAATCTTGGAGAATTGATTGATTAATTCATTAAAACACTCAAAATTGTTTACTTCACAAGTAATGAAGGCTTATATAAAGAGGGGCTGATTTATCTGAAGAAGAGATGGTTGGAGGATTGCTGGTCTTGAGCAATTCATTCCATTTCCATAGATTGCCAGGTGTTTCTCTCATTGTGCAAAGAATAATTCATACATAAAGAAAATCATCAACATAATTTCATACACAAAAGTCTTAGGTCCATGAGGATGAAGAAGACCCTGCCTTGGCCATGACATCTCAGCATGGCTCATGTCATCAGCTGGTATGGAAAATACAGAAGCAGACTCAAACAAAGAGGAGTTTGGACCTATTGTAACATGGGTTTCTATTTCTTGGGTCAGGGGGACTGTGACTAGTAGCTACCAGCTATAAGCACTGGATAATCTCTGCCAGAAGACACTTGTTGCTGTGTTGTGGCGTGCAGTGCTCCCAGAGTGACTGCTGTCTTTCTGTGGGAAGCATGTAGGAGCTCTGAGCTTCCCAAAGGGATATTTGCAATACTGCTATGTTGAGATTCATTTCCTCCCCTGAAGGGAAGTGGCTTCCTTGCCAGGATTGCTTGCATGTAGTGTAACATCAGAGAAGGTCAAAGAAGAGACATTTACCATGCAAAAGTCAGGATATTGATCTATCAAAGCATAAATACAAAGAAGAAAAATAAAATTACAAAAGGCATATTTAGATCTTACTTAATGTTGAAGTTTATCCTTAATTGTTCTTGCACCTAAGCTGACATGGAGGAGCAGGCATGAAGAACTTTCTGACACTGCAGCTTCGCTGTGTCCAAGACTTCCTATTTCCTCCCTTATCTACCTGGTCTAATTCTGAACTTAGTCTATGTTGTATTTCAAATCAAAAGTAAGAAGCACTGCCTTCTTCCTTCTGTGCAGTAAAGTTCTGGAGTAGTCTTCTAGTAGGAAGTAGTGGGGACAAGGGAGAAAAGTACTTTTTTTTCTGAAGATGGATCTCTGTGAGCTCATGGAAGGGGTTTTATAACCATATAATAGAATCATAATAACAGAAAATTACACTTCTGATAAGAATCCTTTGGTATGTGATATGCTTATGTATTTGAGAGGATGTGAAGGAAAACTGCACAGCCATTTGCTTTCCTGTACCCATCCCACATAAATCCCATGCTCAGGGCTGTTCCAAGTTGTCTGTTCATGAAGAAAAACCCCTCCCCTTCCTTCTTGATGTAATTTAATTTCAGAGGCTTTTTGCTTTCCTGTGTAGTACTGGCTATATGCCACAGGCAGAGACAGACTGGAGGCAGGACATGCTGGTACCCCTCCATGCGTCTGGTTTGTGACACCTATAATTTGCTCAGAGTTAAACTGACAGACAGGTTACTTGAAGACTGGGCTTGATGACCTGCCTACTCCTTTAGCAGCCTGATGTTCCCACACAGCAGACACATCCAATGTCTGTGTAGTTCTTGAGCTGCTCTTACAGACCTTGTGTGTGCTAACCTCCCGAAGCAGAAGACCATCCTTGTCTAAGACCATCCTTAAGAAGGCATTGCTTTTGCACACTGTATTTTCTTATGTCAGAAGGAGTTCCTGTAGGAGTAAACCAGTATGAATCTAGATGTCTGAAACTCCTTGTGACCTTATCTTCTCTTGATGCTACGCCGATTCTTTGTAAATCTAAGCTTGAGGTTTGCCTGGCTTATTTTAGGTTCAGGAAGATCTTGTAACCAACTTCAAAAGCAACCAACCAGTTTTCCAAAGCAGCAGGCGTGAAGCATTGCCCTGCTGGAGACAGCCTGAGAGTATTCACCTCTGAAATATGCAACTAAGAACAAAAGCTAAACAGTGGTGAATGAAACATGAATGGAACACAGACTATTATATCTGTCCTGCATTTTTTTCCCCCCTTACTTTCTTTCATGTCTTTTAAGGAGAATCTGCTGAATTTTATCAGCAATTATCCTTGAGAAGCCTGGAGTAATTGTCCTAATTATTAAAGGTGGGTTGTGTGGGAAGCTTTACAGCTGGAGGCCATCAGGGACAGATAAAACAGCTTTCCCCAGAGTGGAAGGAGGCTGGCAACTTTTAGGCCTGCAGCGCTCCCAGTTCTAGGAGACAGCTGGGTGGATTACAGGGGAAATAGAAAGCTCTTTGGCTTGGCATTTCCTTAGCGTTTGATCTGAAGTGGTTTAAAATACAGGCTTGTGGGGTCAGCCATTCCTATTTAGAGGCCATCCCAAAAGTGCTTTGTGTGCCTTTCTGAAGAGGAGTAAGTGGTGTCTCTGAATGAGCCAACCCCTCTGCTCCAGGCTGCTCAATTGCAGAGTCTGTGCCTGGAGACATCCCTGTGCACCTCTAGGGCTTTCATGTAGGCTGTGAAAAGGGTTCATAAGCTATGTGAGATCAAAGACAGCAACCTAAAAAGCTGCAGGCGTGGAGCCTGCAAGTTCTGTAGGGCAAAAGAGGCTGTCTGAGTCCAAGCACCAGGCCTGGCAGTCCCTGCAGTGCTGCGGAGCTGTGCTGGGAGCTCCTGAGCTTGGCCTTGATGCAACGTGAAGGTGTTGTCATGTGGTGTGTTGGCTTGTGTTCCCGAAAGACATGATTACTTCTCAGGAACTGTCATTCTTTCTAGCATCCCTACCTAATTTTATTTTTTTTTTTCTTTTTTGTTTTTCTTTTAAACAGGTCTGTGATTTTTCTGGAAAATAAAGCAATGGATGATGTGTTGGCAAAGTTAGCAGTGGCCAAGATTTACCTTGCCAAAGTTTACAGTAACTTTGTTCTTGAGAGAGGCATAGCCGAGAAGAGTCACACATCTCGTCGAAAGTAAGCCAAGAAATGATTTTCCTTGACAAGTCAAGGGCCGCAGCAGCCCAAGGCCTCTTTTGAGTGATACCAGTGAAGGCTCAAGGCCGTGCTTCTTGTCAGTCTAAGGGTTACGAGAGGACGATGAGGTCTGGTGAGGTATTGGAACAGGCTGCCTGGGAAGGAAGGGAGTTGCTGTTCCTCAAAGTTTTCAAGAAAAGGATAAATGTTGCACTGAGTGACTTGGCCTAGAGTGGTCACAGGCATGGGCAGATGGTTGGACTGGATGATCTCAGTAGTCTTTCCAACCTTTATGATTCTATGAGATACAGATGTGCACTGATCTCCCTGCGGTTCTAGCTAGTAACTAGCTCCAGAAGTGTTTCTGATGAGCTGTTGCCAACTGATTTGACACAACAAGTTGTAGCAGCGTTCTGGATACCAGATGGTGAAATTCTAGCCCTGGTATGCGGAAGCCTTGCTAGATATACAGAGCAGGAAACTTTGTTGGGTTCAGTGTGAAAGTCAGCAGGGCAAAAAGCAAGGCCAACCACACATCTCACCCCTGCCATTTTGACTACACCTTGAAAGAAAATAGTTGTGTGCTTGCTGGTTGCCATTGATACCTGCGTAAGTTTCTGTTTATACCAACTCAGAGAGCCTAAGACTGTTAGTGAGTGCAGGAGAACATGCTCCTGAAGAGCAGCAAATGAAGGGACTAGAGACAAGAAAAGGTTGTGCTTGGGAACTATGGGTGTTAGAAGAGTAAGGAAGCAGGGAAGATAGATTAGACTGGTAGAGATCTTCTTGAGATTAGACTGGTTGAGATCTTCTCAGAGCAGTTTCAGGCACATTTCTCCAATATCAGTTGCTGTGAAACTGCTGCCAGTCCTCCCTAGGAGTCACAATCCTTCTCCTGCCTTTCTGCAACATGGCTTCTGGCAGCCTTACTGTTGTCTGCAATTGGAGGAACCTGGATTTCCTCCTAGTCAAGAGGGGAAGGTACAGGGTGGAAGTAAAGGGGAACTGGAGACTGCTGTTCCAGTAGGGCTTTCATTTTAGTGTGCTCCCATGTCACAAATCAGTGGATCCCGAAATTGAACAGCACATTCTTTCTGTATCCTGGCACATTGGTATTTCACAGGGTATTCCTGGCAGTGGTGTTGTGTACCAAATTCCTGCTTCTAGATTTCTGCTGAGTAGAGCATCCCATTAACCTTCCTGTTGGCTGGACAGGGAACATCACGACAGCATTCACTGTTTCTATTGGGTGGCCCTAATGCCTGCACTTATGAGACCCAGTATGAGTGCAGAAAAGCAGCTTGAATCCGAGGACTGGATGCAGCTGGATAGAACAGCCTGTGCTGCATACCCAGCTGGTTAGCTCTGCTGCCTGTTTACTCATTGTATTGTCTGGTGGACAGCAATATGCAGGATTGAGAAAAGAGGTCTAGTGGCAAACACACACAAAGAGAGAGAACCAAACCCAACGGCATGGGAATGAGAGCAGAGAGCTGAAATAGGAAACTGTCTTCTTTAGTATTTCCATCACAGTCGGGGTTAGAAACTGGCAGTGGCTTGGGACGCTGATGTCTGGGCTGTAAAAACACAGAGAGCCAGAAAAGGGCTGTGTCTTAACACATTTGCAGTGTAAGGTGTTGCATGAAGAGAGACCAGAGTTACTCATAGCAGGGTGGTGGTAGCTGACTCCAGCGGACTTCAGAGTTAGGCTAATGCTGAGCATGTCACAACACACAGCACTTCTCATACCATGCAGCAATTACATAAATATAAACCCTTCCAAGCTGACTCAGTTTAGCCTTAAATGTTATCTGGAGCCTCCCAGATCATCATTACATGAACTGCCAAAAACAGGAGCTAAGGGACAGAACTGATTAAGACTCTCAATTGTAAAAGCAGATTAGGAATTTTCTCAGTGCACATACTTTGGGATAGAAAATGTCCTTTGTCAAAATGGAAACTGTGGCAAGGGTTACTTTTGATATATATTTTTTTTTTAACTTGAAAAATGTTTGATTTAAAAGCTGAGAAACTATTGGTAATTTATAACTCCTAGTTTTATGATATTTGGTTATAACCCATCCATGGTGTTGAAGCTTTTGCTTCTTCTGGTAATTCACCATAGCAACATATTACAGAAATGTTATGCTATGTTGGGAAACTGTTTTTCCTTCCAGATACGCCAAATGTCCGTGTATTCATATGCAATTATTGATCTTCCATGTGAAGTCTTTCTCTGAATATTTTAAAGAAAGAAGATTAGATGGAGGACATCCTCATTGTAACCATCTGTATGAATTGTAAACTGCAGCATTAGAACCTTAGTTTGATATCCTCCCAGACTGGAATTTGAGGGAGTCCCTCCAGACCTGTTATTTGTGTGTTAGCATTAGTTCTTTTGTGCCTCCAACGCTGAGGAAGGAATAGGTGTGTCTGGCTTTCTCCTTTTAAGTTGATGGGGGTTGCGCAACCTTTTTGTGGTGCCAGCTTCCTTATGGGCATTTGTCATAATGGGAAAAATACAAAGCGTTCCCAAAGCAGCAGGCATCAATGGCACAAACAGAGTCAGCCCTTACAAACCCTGAAGCTGACTTGATCCGTGAACCTAGAGTCACAGCTGTAGTTGAGGGAGCTGCTAAAGCACACGAAGCGTTACCCCATGTGCACAGAACAGTAGTTCCTGTAGATATCTGAAGCCATTATCTTCTTAGATCCAAACCCCATGCTTACCTCAGCTGTGCTGATGTCGTCTTCCATGCATGAGCTCCTTCTGTCACCCTGGTAGCTCCAAGAAAGCACTGTTCCTGTATTTCTAGAAGTCATGATGTTCTTTGCTCACTCCTTCACGTGTTTCTTGCAAATCCTGTCCTGAATCTCAATGCAAGTTTGATGTTTTCCTAACCCTTTCTGTATTTCCCTAGGTAATTAGCAACTGTGCCCTAGACATGGGAGATACCTTCTAGTTCAATGCTTATCTTAGGAAGCTTTATTTCAAGCAGGTCTCTTAGCCTAATACCTTATCTGAGGGAATAAAGCATTGGGGGAAAGAAGGGTGGAGACCCCCTATTTGATTTTAATTATTGGTGTTAGTTTCTGTTGCTGGCCTCTGTATAGGTTCCTCTGCTAAACTGGGAAGTGATTCTAAGACACCGCATGAGCTATCTAATGCTGAAAGGCAAAGCAGAGTTTTACATTAAGGTTTAAGAAGCTGGGGTTGCATGATGTTCCTCTGCTCGGGTATTCTGAAGACAAAATATTGTGCTTTTCCAGAATTCATAAGGAATCGAAAGCACTGAAGTTATCTGGGAGATCTGCTTGAACCAATGGCCATGCCATGCTTGAAGATTCAGGTTTCTTTTCCCTTGCGCAACAAGGGAGTTTGGGTTCTCACCTGAAGCATCAGGAGAGGTATGACTGGTGAGGGCTAGGCAGGGAGATGCATGGTCCTCCTGCTCAATATACCTATCAGTGAAAGTTAGGAAATTGTAAATAGAGATACGGGACTGAAAGGTGTTACCTTCGTGGTCTGCAGTGTTTCTGGGGTGATGGCAGCTGGGTGTGCTCCAGGGGTGTGGAACAGTTGATGCCATCAGGAAGGTAAGGGACATTTCAGGAGTTGGTGAGTTGGCACAGAGGCAGGATTTCACTTGTATCTGGCGGAGTGGAGCCAGATCTGTGGAGATCTGAAAGCTGGCAAACTTGCTTTCCCTTACACAGGGATGAGCTGTGCTAGCTTCAGGAGAATGGAGTGGCTTTTGGGATGTGTGCATCACCCCCCGCTTTGATGGCTGTTTCCGTGATGGACAGTCATTTGTCTTTCCATGAGAATCCCCAGGCACAAGTGGGTGGTGTGAATATCTCTTAAGCTTCCACTGGGCAAACTGCACTTTAACAAAGTGCACTTTGTCATTTTTGTACATGTTTTACATTTCCTCTTGGAAATGCATCAGGGTTTTCCCTTCTGTTTTTCGAAGTATATTGTCTCAACGTTGGCCTGGCTTTGTACTCTTGGTAGCTCTGCTACCAGCGATGTCAGGAAGAGTTTTCTGTTTGCTTCAATGGGAACTGGGTTAGATCAGTCCTGGCCATTTTTGAGAGGCCCAAGCAGAGGGTTCAGTTTACATAGCATAGTGGGGAGCCTCGCCTGCTGTTCACATCCAGCTTTGTTTGTTGGATTTAATTAAATGAGCCATACAGTATTTTGCATTTTCTACTTCTGACGCAATGCAGAAGTCCTGTTGTTCTCTTAGACAGTGGGTCTCTGCACGCTCGTAATGAGGATTCACCAGCAGCAACTTACTGCTGTGGTGAAATGCCAGCTTGGCAGTAGCCTCGTGAATCGTGTTCAGTGCTGTGTTAGGAGGACTGAAAGGATGATGGCTGCTATTAATTTTGTGCTCTTTTTCACTGCTTTAGGAGAAAAACATCTTTGCAGAAAGATCGGAACTTCTTTGAGGTAAGAAAGATAGAGAGAAAAATGGAGATTTTGACTGAGTGTCAGCCCAGACCGTGTCTCTCCCTTGCACGTTCAAATGGTGCAGACAACCTGCTGCTTTCGTTTTGGTCTTCCCAGTGGTTTGCTTGCACGGCAGAGTACCTTCAGTAAAATTTAACTTCTTGGGCTTAGATTGCAGTGCCTAAATATCACCCCTGTGCCCTGCAGTGCAGGTTTTCAGTCCTGCTGTGACTGTCAGAGCCAAGGCAGTTCCTATCACAGACTGAGATCCCCCTGGGAGGCCTGGTCTGTTGGTTTCTTGCCAATGACCTCATGATTTTTTCTTTCACAGCCTTCTTTCATTTCCATTGTACTTGGCAACATTTTTAGATGGCAGTAAGCTCTTCTGGCCTGCTATATCCAGCCCAATGAGGAATTTGAGCCTCTCTGCGTAGCAGGGCTTTGATAAATTAATATAAAACACTAGGGCCAAAATCATATTTTATACTTCTCAAAATGTACAGACTTTCCTTCAAACAGGAGGACTGTGGATTGAATTTCAAGGGTACACCGTAGTTCCAGTGATACCATCTTTTCAGGAACCTCAGTAGAGGTTTGATTTTCTGGGTGTTGGTTCAGCTGGTGCCAGGAATCACGAGTGTTAACATGGTGTGATAACCTAGACAATCCTATTTAATCAGCAAGCAGATACATGAAGGTAAGATGCAATGAGTTCGTATTTGTTAGTAATATTTTCTGTGATCAAAATGCTGTCATTTAGGGTGGGAATCATCTTGTCTAACTCCAGTTGCCCAAACAATAGCTGTCCCATCATCCTAAGCCCTCAGGCTACTCTGACAGTCATGCAGACAAGGAGAAGCTCAGCCAGGGATGAACTGTTGCCTCTTGGGACAAATGAGTGTGATAAGAACCTCTGCAGAATGACTCATCACACCAGTCTCTTTCCATTGATTATGGAAGGAAACTGGGTGGTGATCCTCAGTTCATTTCATAGTTCCTAGCAATGAAGCTAAACTCAATTGACCAGATTCCGCAAGGTGAGATCCCTCTGAGCTGTGTTTCTAGCCTCATCTCTCTCTGCACCTTTAAAGAAAATGGTACTTTCAGATCTTCACTGGTGAGGTTTGATGTCAGACTTGTTGCTGGCTTTTAGTGCAGTCATGCCAACCTGCTCTGTAGGACACGGTGGGGTTCTGAACCTTTTCCCAGTGAAAATGGGATCCATGTTTTCAATTTAGGGCTTCTACAACTTCTGCAGCTACGTGACTTGGCTTGTGTTCAGACGGAAGCACTTCCAAGTGATTCGGGAAGAAATCGGCAGGCTCCTTTGCTCTGACATGTTCAATCTTGCCTTAAGAGACAGGAACCATGTTTCTTTGCAGACTGCTGATGCAAATGCAGTGAGATTACCACGTCAGAGGTACTCATTTGACATACTGATGAGCCCTTAGGTGACCTGTCCAGTCCGAATACACTAAGATAACATCTCTGTTTTCTTTCAAGACAAGTCAGTGCCAAGCATCCATCCATAAACAGCATGGTTTACCAGCACTCACCTGTGCTCAGCACACTGCTGCCCATACCAAAGGAGAGCGCTCAGTACTGCTCCCAGAGCCACTACTGTCGGGGCAGAGACCCACAGCCCTGCTCGTGTGACATCCTACCAGACTTCTCACAGTTGCTCACTACCAAGTAAGCGATATTTCTTGGCATAAATAGATTTGGCAGTGCTATTAGAGAGTCTGCCAGACAGCTAAGTCTTCCTCGTTGAGAGAAGGACCGTTGGACAACTCTGTGATTCTATGACTGGGAATTTGCCTATGGGAACAGGCAACTACTGTCCATCCTACTGCTTTGTTAACTGGGAAGTATTACTGGGAAAGCCAATAGAAATAGAACCTTTTCCAATGATTAGGATAAAAACAAAAAATTTCAAGCCTGATTGTGCCATATAGGAGGAATGCTACTTTTCCCTCCATCCATTTGTTGCCTTCGTTTTCTGGATCTTTCAGACTTCTGGCAACCTAAAAAATGCACCATACACACAAAATCTTCAGACCTATCTACAACATAAGACTGGTGAATCCAATATTTCCCAAAAAATGAAGCTTGCTACAGATGCACGTGTAATTGCTTCGTGAGCACTTTCAAAACTGGGTGCCTGCTGAGTTTTTATAACTTCTGCACAGTAATTGATGTGCAATAGGGCCAACCTTCTGAGGCAGTGCTCAGTTTCGCTTGGACATACACATTTTGTATTGTGTGCACGCACACTCCAGGCAGAAACGTGACATAATGTGTGAGGTGCTGTGTGTGTATGTGGTTCTTTGTCCCTGGAGCAGAGAAGATAATCTCTGCAGACTGTGTTATTCACAGGCCAGCTAAAGGAGGCAACTTTCTTTGCTGGTTTTTATTGGGAAACTCTGCAAGTTGTTCTCCCTTTCTCCTGTTTTCCTCTGCTTTGTCATGTCAAACTTATTAACACCATGTTTTCTAACAGGGTGGGCATCATTGGAGCTCACTGTAGTGAGTTAAATTCCTTTTTGCTCCAGTCTGATGGGACAATGGAAGAGGAAGAACAAGAACAAGACCAAGAACAAAGAGAAGAACAAGAAAAACTGAGGACTCATTCCTTTGTCCTGACAAAAGATCTGAATTTATCAGCTCTGTGAAGCCCTCAGAAAGGCTTAGTAGAGAGAGTGCTGTATTCTCAAGAGCAAACAGCAGAAGGTGATCGTAACCAGAACAACTAGCTGAAGTTGAGTGGCATGGTTTCACGTTGCTAAGTAAATAATTTTGAAATTGCATCTTAAAAAGCCAAAATCATTTATCAGAGGTGGGGTAGTTTAATGCACAAGCATCTGCATGGGAGACTGAAGACCTGGACTGTAATTCCTGGTCTGTCACTATTCCTCTTTCATCTGAATGCCGCCTTCTCTCCGTTTCTGAGAAATTATTTTACTGACTTATTTTGGGAAGGGCTTTGACACCTGCAGATGAATATGGTCATTGATTTTAATGACAGACTTCTTTTTTTAAAGGATTAGCAAAGTAACCAGGAGACATGACTTACTATGGCCTAAAGTTCCTTAAACTGTCCTTTTAAAGGAACTTACTCTTGAATCTTTGATATATTGTTTACTCCTTTTTTAATTTCCATCACCTCTCATTTAGTTCTAGTATTTTGTAGCCTAATTTGGTAGCCTAATTTATGACTCACTGTGAGAAGAGTTAGCAAAGAGGAATCTTCATGTGAAGTTTACTCAGAATTAACTTTCCAAGTTTTACATTTGCGTTCACATTGGGCAGACAGGTTAGTGCTCTTATGATCATAAAATTGGTGGCAAGACCTTCAAGTGGTGCTTTGCTTGCAGGTTTCCTGGGAGTCTGGTTGGGCAACAGCATGTGCAACTCTCTCTCCCAGCGGCACAAACTACTCCTGGACGGTGCATAGCTGGCTGGACATGCAAGAGGCAATTGTGCTATCACTGCCCTGCAGCAACATGGTTTCTCTACTGAATGATGCAGCAAGATGTTGGCCAATACCTGGAGCTAAGGGAGTCTACTTCATAGCTTCCTTCTCATGGTGTTGGGAGAAGTCTTTCAGTTTCTGCTTTAGGACGCCTTGGCTTGGTCTCAGTTATCTTTGTCTGCATCTGTATCATGCTGTATGGCACACTCTGAGTAAAACCCAATGGTCCTAGTGAGTTCTGTTTTTAAGACACTGTGATAGTAAGCCAAGTCCTCAGTGATGGCTTTGGGCCATCTAACAACAGCCTTGAACTTTCTAGAAAGGATTGAGAAATACTTTGAAGTTCAGGTCCTTTAGTCAGCAGAGTCCTTTCCAGGGTTACCTTCTCAGGGCTGAGCTCTGCTTTTTCTGAGGCAATGGATGTCTAACACAGACACCCCATACCTGTTTAAGCATGTAAGCAAGACCTGGCAGCCTTGCACACATGACAGTGAGTCATCCTTCCAGCAGGAGAGAGTGAGTCAGAAAGGGCAGTTGACAAGCTTTATTTATCGGTCTCCTGTTATTTGGCCCGGGAGAATTTCACTCTGAAAAACCCACCCTTGTTAATGACAGGCAGAGCTCAGAAGTGTATCATGAGACTACTGGCTTTTATTCCCATAGGCTTTGCATGCAGTGTCATTATCAGGAAGTCACGGCAGATTGGCCATTTCCATGCATTTCTTTTTTCACAGGGACTCTGAGCATGCCAGCTGCATCAGAACAACCTGCCCAACCTAGGGTTGCCATAAGCAATACAAATTCAAATGCCTCCGAGTGATGAAAAGAGCCAGGGGTTCTGTGCAGCAGCATTTACTGAGTTCCCATTTACTTTCTTCTCTTAGGGCTGACTTGCTCAGAACTTTAATCAAATGCTGCTAGCATACCCTTGTGTCTTGATAATGTCTTGGATTATGGTTGTGCCACTCACAGGCTCCATATAGGGTGTGTCAGGCTTTCGAGTGTACGTGTCTATTTTCAGAAGTTATTTTGCTCTGTTGTAGAAATTCACACCAAGAAGAAAGTTGGCAGGAAACTTTGCAGCTCAGAGATGGAAAAAGAAACAGAGGAAAAAAAAAAAGAAACGTCTGCCTGATGATTAATGAAGGAAAACCTGCCCGGAGAGGTTTCAGGCTTTGCGCTTGGGAGAGAGGTGGCATTGCAGCAGGGAGATCCACCGAGACGTGGAATGACCACTGTGTGTAGTTGTGGTATGGAAAGAAGCAGTATAGACTTCATCCATTCTATCTGTATTCTGGAGGGGTTCAGGGCAGTAACCCATGAAGGCAGCACTCACAGCAGCAGTGCTGCAGGGCTTAGCAATCTGAGCCCACATGGCAGGGCCTGGGGCTCTTGCAAGTTCTTTGTGGTCCTGTTGGTTCATCTTGTTCTGTTAGAGGCTGGTGTCTGATATACAGGGAAAAGCAGTCTGAGCCTTCTCGTTTTCCTCTGCAAGAAAGATAGGTCAAAAGCAGCACTTTATCAGCTAATAACAGGTTTTGTCCATTTTTATGTGGATTCAGACATGTATTCGTGCACTTACATTTGCTGCATAGGAGAATAACACTTCCGTATGCCTTTGGTAATATGGCTTTTTGTTGCTTCCAGCCAAGTAGGGACCTAACAGATGCTGCAGTGGTGAAAGGCACCATCTTGTTTCATAATCCTGCCAGTGTCCCTCCTCTGCCTGGGGTCCACCATTTTACTCCATCTCCTTTGCCCTCTCAGTTAAACAAAAGATTCAGGAATCCTTGACAGAGCTCTGAAGATGCTTCTCATCGCTCCTGTTTGTTCTGCTGCTCATCTCCCTCTCAAAGCCAAGCTGCATCTACCAACCAGACACCCCAGGAGAAATAGCAGCTCCTTTGTACAGATTGCTGACACCATCACCTTGGCTGCTCCTCACCAGGGGATGGGCGTGATGCTTGTGATGCCTTTTTACCTCCAGTTATGCTGGGGGAAAGAGCGCGGCGGTGAGACTGGAGACCAGGCAATGATTTGCACTACGAGAGGAAGCTGTCAGTCTGGATTTTCTTAAGCAAAGCTTCCAAATGGTGGTGGCATGTGTTCCTGCACTGGATGGGACTAAAACCTTCACCTTGCAAGCAAACCACACTGGAATTATCATGCACCGGTTATGGTTCTTGTGGCTCAGGCTATATCAGAATGTTTGTGGTGAGATTTTTACAGTTTGCAACAAAAATAAAACAAACTGCAATTCACAGAATGTGGAGATATTCTTACTCTGGCTCATCTTCATGTGAGAAAGCTTGAAAGAACAGGCTGTAATTATCCTGTCATCTGTTACAGCCCTTCCATTTGGAAGAGATATAATAATATTAATGCAGTGTATTTCTTGGTGTCATTATTTACAAAACAATAAATAGTCTTTTTTCCTTTTCTTTGAATACAGTAGAAACAATCACAAATTGTTTCTGTACACACATTCCTGAGACTGCTGGTCCCAACAAGGTCTGACTTCCAAAGAGTTCCCTCTGTGATGCTCCTTACTTTTCCCCCTCTGTACCAAGCCAACACAAGCACTGCAGCTATGATGGTGTCTCGGCAAGTACAGCAGTTCCTGAATTTGCAGTCCTGCTGTGGAAACTAGATCTCTGGAGAGGGCTTCCATTGTTCATCTGTCTTTACTATGTTATAAAGGATAGTTATTCCTTCTACTGAACCTGGCATAGTATGCATGACATGTTTTTACTGTGCTGTATAGGTATTGTGGATTAAGACTTGCCCGAAGGCTGCCATTAGCATTTTTTCAATGTAATCATCAAGAGAAGGAGGTGCAACATCTAATTTAGGTGTTTATAGCAGGTCGTCTTAAGACAGTGCCCAGATCTCTATATTGATTGGACTTGGAGACGTGGTGTTGCAGACCTGGATAGGCAAGGGATTGACCTACCCTTTGTCCTTTGTACTCAGAAGCTGTAAGAGCTCTCACCCCTGAAGTGCTGTGATTTATACATTTTAGGAAAGAGGAGGGCGAGATGTAAGAGGTGGTTGTGCTCTGTACAAGGAGGAGCAGCTCAGGTGCATGGAGTTCTGTGCACTGTGTGATGGGCTGGTCAGAAGCTTATGGGACAGGATCAGAGGAAAGGCAAACACAGGTAACATTGTGGTAGGCATTTGCTACAGATCACCTAGTCAAAAAGACAAAACAGATGAAGCCTCCAGAAACATGAAATAAGTGTCAGTGTTTCAAGTCTTGACTTTTACAGGAGATATTAACCAACATGACATCTGCTGGGCAGGAAACAGTAGGGCATAAGCAATTCACATTTCCTGAGTGGGTCAGGACAATGTCTTGACATGGTGCTGCTGGTAACGATATGAAGAACAACAGGAAGAGTTTCTACGGGTGTGTTAGCAGTGATAGGGAAACCAAGATGTGGATCCACTGCTGAACAAGGCAGGTGAGCTGGATGAACAACATGGAAAATTCAGAGGTTCTCAGCATTTTGTTTGCCTCAGTATTTACTGTTATAGTCTGTTCCTGGCTATCTGTGTCAGGAGGCAGAGCTTGGAAGATAAAGATACTACCTGCAGGTGGTCATGCTGGGGTGTCTTACATAAAATGGACATATACAGATCCATGGGACCGAATGGGAGGCAGTTCAGATTGACATAAGGAAGAGAATTCTTTGTAGTGAGGGTTCTCAAGCAGTGGAGCAAGTTGCCTAGAAAATGTGTTCAATTTCTACCCTTAGATGAACTCAAAACTCAGCTAAATCGGGCCTTGAGAAACCTGCTTATTCGTTGAGCAGGAGATTGCATGAGAGCCTAGCAGAAGTCATTTCCAACCTATTTTTTTTTCTGTGATTCTTAGTAGATGTCTGAATATAATCTGAAAAGTCCCCTGGAAATAAGATGCATATGCCTTAAAATGTGCAACACTGAATGTAGCATGGCCTAAATGCCAGCCAGCCTTTGAATGGGCCCATAGGCCATGGAAGTATAGAGTAGAAGGTAATAGTGGTGGCACAGGGAATGCAGCTAATGGGAAGGTCTCTGACCATGGGCCAGGAGGATTAGTAGCACTTAAACAGTGCTCTCTGCTGCTCCATTCTAATCTGTCACCCTGTAGGTGTGCTATATGTATTGCAATAGGTGGTCCAGATCCTCCCAGTGCTCAAGATACTGGTGTCACACTCTTCGAAGTCCTCACGAGCCCCTAACAGCTCTCTGTCCAAGAGCCCTGGGTAGCCTGAGCTCTGACTTAGTGCTGACGTCCGTTTGAGCAACTGTGGCAGCTGGGAGCCGATGTGTTCTTGTGTTACCCAGCTGGCAGCACTTACAATAGCAGCACAGAGTGCAGGGAAGGTCTTGCCAGGGGGTTAGTCACCAGCAGACATGCCGTCTATAAGCTCCCTGGGCAAACACTCTGTTGCTGGGGTGGGCTGGCACACACACTGCTGCATCTTCACAGCTCTTGCTACCAGACCTGGGAGCTCTGGGCACACCTCCAGTGCACTCTGAAACCCTACGAAGGCCTCAGTTTCTTGCAATGCTTTTGCTTTGTCCCCGAGCAGCTCCTGCTTCAGGTGGTGTTACACAGCTGCTGGTTCAGCAAGTTCACTCCCGCAGGAAAGCTACTGTAAGTAGTTCAGGTTTAATTTAGAGTAATTTAGGTTTAATCAGTGTTTTGGACCTTTTGTCATTCTTTATTTTGACGCTATTTCAGAAGGGCTGCCTTTTGGGCCACTGAATCCTCTGCAGACTACTGGTTGGAAGCAGTTTTTCCTGGCCTGCATCTCTACAAGTGAGACACGCCAACCATTGGTGCCTGGCCAGGAGGAGCCACAATGTCCTGGAGCCTCTCTCTGTGGATGGTGAAATCTTGGGGAGTAAAGTCCTAAAAGAACAAAGCTTAACTCTGCAGTAAGAACTATGCTTTAAACAGGGTGAGTTGTTTGTGCTTATTAGTAATTAAATTGACATTTTCTGTCATTTCTTTCAACAGTCCTTGATGTTGCATCTGAATTATTGGCTGAAGGAAGTCCCAACTTCAATCTTTCAGCAGCAGTTGTGTGACCATGGAAATCTGAGAAAACTTGCTGAGAGCATATCTGTGTTAAAGTAATAGGCTTTGGTGCAATTCTGAGAGTTGATTTCCCAACAGGGTTTGATTCCTGTGTTAATTTGTGCTTGCTGTGACTGGGACTGTATTTGGTTGGACTGGATGATCTTAGTGGTCTTCTTCAACCTTAATGATTCTGTGACTCTTTTTTCAATTGTAGTCCTTCTCTCCATGGTCAGAACTGCTGCGACTGAAGTACCACTCCAGAGGAGATGGTTTTTTTTAGGGATAGGACAACTGATACACAGCACCATGCAGAAGTTTGCTAGCAAAGCAGGGAAGCTGGGTAAAACATCCAGGAACTCAGTGTAAATATCAAGAATCTCATATTGCTTAAATTATCTTAAATATTACCTCTTATCACAGGATAAGAATTGTCTCGTGATATAGATATATATATATTTAGCAAAGATCACTGACATATTCCTTTCGAAGTAAACAACATTGTACTCAGGAGAGTAAGAGGTACTGCATGAGAACAAACAGCCAGATTTGCTCTGAATTTTAGATTTCTACATGATATTCTAATTTAAAACAGAACAAGCAAAGAAAACAACAAAGCAGGGAAATAGTAACTTTGTAGTGTATAAGAACATCCAAGTATTAAGGGCATTCACAAACTCCATTATTAATACAAAAACATTGCTTTATCTTTGAAATGAATTCTAGATGGGAGCCTGCATCAGTTTCACTGAAGACCAGAAACATGTGAGTATTACGTTTTGATAGAATATTCTTCTGTGATCACACATTCTGGTCCAAGGTATCATCCAAGCCAACCCTGTCCCTGATGAATTAATATCAATGGAGTCACATGGTGGGATTGTGACTCTTTAGTACCCATTAGTCCAGGATTAAATTGGCATTTAACTGGCCTAGTCTGCAGAACAAACTCCTGGCTCTTGGTGCACTTGCTGCAACAAAACGTGGGTGTTTTGGACCTGTCTCATCCTTCTGTCCCCTCACTTCCCAGGCACCATGGACTTCACTGAGGTACATTCAGGCAAAATACCTGACTTGCTTCAGCCTGTATCTTTCTGCTATGCTCCTGCTACTCAGTCAGATCACCCTTTTGTAGGTTTTAGTTCATTTGCACCAACCATAACATCATAGAGTCATTAAGATTGGAAAAGACTTCTAAAATCATCTTCTCCGACTATCAACCCATCCCATCATGTCCACTTACCACATTCCTCAGTGCCACATCTCCATGGTTTTTCAACACCTCCAGGGACGGGGTCTCCCCCTCCTCCCTAGTTCTGATGCTTTGCCACTCTTTCTGAGAAGAAGTTTTTCCAAATATCCAACCTGAACTTCCTCTGAATCTCCTCTGGAGCACAGCACCCAGCTGAAACTCCCAAGGGTGAGATCTGCTGAGCCTCTGTGGCTGCAGGGAATGGAGAAGAGGAACCGATACAGGTGCTGGTATCCTGTTACCCACAGTGTACTTACTGTCAGGTCCCACCTGGTCAGCCTCACAGGGACAGAAAGGAGCTCCATGGCTTTGAAGTTGTTCGTGTTTTTTGCCATTCAGGGGAAGGCAAGGCTGTGACAACAGGTACACAGCAGCAGAAGGTAGTCTCAGTGCACAGCGTGGAGTTATTTTGGTCTTTCAAAATCCAGCAAATTTATCCTTGAGCGTCTTTTACCAGCGCTGTGCCTATTTATACTCACACAACCATAGTACCCTCTGTAATGGCCATAATTCTTAATGCAATGGCATTTGTAGCAGTGAGCAGAAAGCAGAAGCTGCTCCCCCTCAGTGGCCGGCTGTCCAGCGATGCTGGCAGCGTGTCAGAGCAGCCAAGAACTCTTGGAAAAGAAAAGGAAAGAGGGAAGCAGAACTGATAGGCCAAGAGGCAAAGGCATTCCAATAAAGGCTTAGTGGTTTTGCCAAGACAATTAAAATTGTTTACAAGGAATCAAGTTGGTTTAGAGGAAACCTGGAGATTTGTGAATGTCAGGAGCTCCTCATCCTTACAAGGTAAAGGTTAGTGCTGTGCTTTATATTGTTACTTCCTGAGGTAGCCCAATGCTTAGCAATTCCTCAGCTTACCCAATTTGTGCTCCAGTGGTGGTGTTCTAGTTTGGCAAAAGGGAAAGTAACTGCACCCAGCTGCCATTTTATTTTCTTCAAGAAAGAGGTGATACGGGGGGATAGCAGATTGAACATTAGTTCATTTGTTAATATTTACATCAAAGGAATGAGCTGTCCTAAGAAAAATATAAGCTTTTTTTTCTTTTTTTTTTTTTTTTTCTCCAGGGCATGTAAAAAAATGCAAAATGCAAAATCCTATTTGATAACATTATGCAATAACCAAGGCACACATAGCATCTGAACCTGCATGCTCTGTTGGTAAGTGTCTGTCTGTTCAGAGGGACACAAGTTTCCTGGCACTGACACGAGCAATAGCTCAGAGCTTTTTGAGGATTAAGCCTTGGTTCCCTGTGCTGGCATTCTCTGTAAAGGTCAGTTAGCCTTTCCTGTGTCCCCTGTCAAACTCACTGACACTGAGCCCCTTTCCTTTACTAAAAATGATTCAAGCCTTGGGATATGCTCTTGACTAATGAGCTATTTTGGTTTCTGAGCCAGCTGTTTCATGGGCGCAAATCGATGTAGTGCTGATTTGAGGTGAGAAAAAACAACTTCGGCTTTGGTGATGTCCTTAGTGGTTTTGCCAGTGTATCTTTTTGCAAACCCTTACAGCACAAACAGAGCTTATATCCCTGTCCCCCCCTGCTCACCACCACCCCATCTGCCTGGCTGAAGCCCTTCCTTCAGTTCCCAAGCTTACTGGGGGGATTGAGTGCACTGTAAGGAAGATTGCCAATGACACCAAGCTGCATGATGCTGCAGGGAAGGGAAAGGGCTGCCATCCAGAGGGGCTTTGACAGGCTTGTGAGTGTGACCATGTGAACCTCATCAAGTTCAGCAAGGCCAAGTGCAAGGTCCTGCACCTCGGCACAGCAATCCCAAGGGTAAATACAGGATGGGTGGAGAATGGATTGAGAGCAGTCCTGACGAGAAGGTCTTGGAGGTATTGGTGATGAGAAGCTCAACATGAGCTGGCAGTGTGTGCTTGCAGCCCAGAAAGCCAGCAGTGTTCTGGGCTGCATGAAAAGTAATGTGACCAGCAGAGTGAGGGCAGTGACAGGGTTCTGCCCTTGACAGACTTCACCTGCAGTACTGTGCTCAGCTCTGGGGCCTCTGTGGACCTATTGGAGCAAGTCAGAGGACTGGAGCACCTCTACTGGGAAGACAGGCTGAGAGAACTGGGGCTGTTCAGACTGGAGAAGAGATGGCTCCGGGGGGACTTCATTGTGACCTTCCAGTACCTAACGGGGGTCTGCAGGAAAAGCTGGAGAGGGATTCTGTTAGCAAGTGTAGTGATAAGATAAAATGTTAAGGCTTTAAACTAAAGGGGAGTAGACTTAGATTAGATATAGGGAATATCTTCAGTGTGAGGGTGGTGGAGCACTGAAACAGGATGTCCAGAGAAGCTGTGGATGCCCCATCCCTGGAGATGGCCAAGAACAAGCTGGGAGGGGTTTGGGCAGCCTGATCTGGTGGGAGGTGTCCCTGTCCATGGCAGACAGGTTGAAACTGGGTGACCTGTAAAGTCCCTTCCAACCCTATCTATGATTCTGTGATATGATTCTATGAAACCCATGTTTTGCTTGCTTCTTGTACCAGGTCACATTCATCTTTGAATGGGTTCTCCTACCATATCCTTTCCTTCCTTCATGGTCAAAGAAATCTGTCTCTTGGTCTATGTCTCTGTGTAACAATCCACGAGGGCCAACCAAAGTATGAGGGACATTGAATATTCCTATCTCCCTTTCATAGCCAGAGAACTTGGGCAATATATGTCAGGTAGCCCGAGGCCATAAGGAAAGTCTGTGTCCAAACCTGCAATTACAAGCCGTTTTCTGACTTCCATACCCTTGTCTTAGGCATTAGAGCACCCAATACGGCTCTCTCCTTGTATATACTAATGACTTTTCTTTTATATATAATGATTTCTGACATGAACTTGTTATCATTGTATTCAGATGTTGTCTGACAAAACCATCCATTCTCTTTACTAAAGTGATGGAAGCAAGATGGAGGTTTGGCTTCTTCAGCTAATTAACCAGCAAAGTTCTTTTCATTGCTGAGTCGTCCTTAATTATTGCAATCAACACTGAGACAAGCACATTCACATAACGTTTATCTACCGAATCTGAACTGTGGATATAGAATCCAGACTTCTTACATCAGTTCAAACATACCAGACATTCTCCAGTTTTGGGAAAAAAAGCTATCATGGACAGCTTATGGGGCAACAATTTTATAGGTATGACTTATACTTGAGTTTTAGTGTAGGAATATCTGAAGCACATATCAGTGAGTCATTATTTGTTGAAGTATTGAATCTTAAAGCAAGGAAATCATTTCGCTGATTGAGTTTGTGTGCTTTCTAGCGTGTGTCATGGAAAACGTTGGTTATCATGCCAGACTTTGCCTCTGAGGAAGGTCATATTCTTTTACCACCTCTTGATTAGCAAAATACTTGAAACTCCCTTCCCTATTTTTAATTAGTAAGCATGATTGAAACCTCTGTGGCTATTTCTAATAGTTGCTGGAATGCTGAGGTAGTAGATATTTACTTGTTCTGGCCTGCTGGGCTGGAAGAACCCAGAAGAAGCAATTTGTTTACATTAAGTTTCCTATTCTGATGAAATTTGCCCAAGACTCCACAGTTAGAGGATGCTACATCTGCTAACATGGTGAGAAGTGCTGTAATGGTCTCCCAGGCCTTCAGAACTGGCTAGTTTTTGTCATTTGGATCTCTCAGGAACCTTTTCTAGAACAGAGATAACACAAAACCTAAAAGAAGTATCA